CCCCCCCCCCCGCCCCAACCGCTAGAGCTGGACTTTCCACGCCGCTACTTGATCGCCAGGTGGCCACCCATAAAAACTACATCTGGGCTACATCCTTTGGACGAAACAGATGGGATCTGCAACGGTGCTTACACCTTCACCCCTGGATAAACTACTTGTTCTTTGAGAAGGTTCCAAACACTCACGACATGTTGGCAGAGCTGAACGATACGTCCTGCCTCACGTGATGAAACTGCCGGGGCAGCATGAAGCCACCGGCCTCCTGCGGCAGCAGCAGCAGCAGCGGCAGCAGCAGAGGGGAGGCGAGCGCCGCCACCCCAGGCGCTCGAGCCACCATCATAGCGTCCTGGAGCGGTTCCGTTTATCGAAGGCACAAGGTTCCGATTATCGAAGGGGAAAGGGAGGCAGGGTACAAAAGAGACGGGTGGTGGGAAATGGGGGAGATGCGAAGATCACACGTTCGTCACACTGCCGGCCGCACTTTTTTTATCCAAAAATGACACGCGGTTGAGCTCTCGAAGGTTGATTTCAGCACCTGGAGTCAGTGCATATGATGAGCATTTTTTTTAGATAAGCCGAGGCCACGTTCGTTCGTGTGCATGCCGGTTCGCGTCACTTTTTTTCAGCGGGTATGTGAGTGTCGTGTTTTTTTGTGGCCAGGGCTTTTAGAATAACAACGAAGAAAGGCTACCTAACCTTTCGGGAGAATGCCACAGATTCTCGAAGGGGATGTGTTGAAGTCCATACCGCAGTGAGTGGGACAAAAACCGGCTGGACACTGGGCTTACATTTAGTCTGTTACTTTGAGCCTGTGCGCTGTTCATAAACTACAGCCGTGGGGCGAGCTGGTTTTGTTGGCGCTTGCAGCAACAAGCGTCCACAAGTGAGTCGGAAACACATGCATTGTTTACGTGTTTTGCATTACAATAAAATTCTGCGTAAGTGTTTTGCATCACATTCGAAATTCGCGCTCACAGCACTTCTGCTGGGCAGGGTGGGGCAGGGGCTCCATCCAATCCGTGATCACACAGAACGCCTCATGCCCCACCCCTACCCCTTCGGCGATGGTTGTTAACGCGATAATTGAGTGCAGAATTCTCATACTACGTGCTGGCTTGTGACCACGGAAGGTTTCCGCGTCAGTTGGACCAGTACGGACGTCAGAAGGTACTGAGCGGAGACCGGAACGGTTTATTATGTGAAGACAACAACAACAACAACAACAACAACCTCCAACTGTTAACATTCACCCGAAAAAAATGCGGGAACAGCTGATGAGCGCCGAATTGAATCAGCCTCGGCACGTTGATTGGGGAGGCAGGAATGTTGTCACCTCAGCCTTGGGTTCATGTGTTTAGAGTCAATGGCTGTTGCCAATCCATGCATTAGGATCGCGAAGAGTGCGCTGTCAAGGATGGGTGGGTGGGGTTGACAGACAAGGTTCGGAGTTCGTGGAGCAACATCGCCCAAAGAGAAACTTGCAAAAATAACTGCTGTGCGTGCAGAGGTTGACGGGACCTTCCCTACCGTTCGTGCGTGCAAATACGAAGTTTCGCACTCCTTCCTGATGGCCGTCGTCAATGCGCGCGTTCCTCACGGAGCCCGCCGGCGCTACTGCTACTGCAAGAATGGTGAGACAGCAATAGCAGCTTCAAGGCGGTAACAGAGTTACCGTATATGACATGAGATAACATACACCCTTGACCAATTTCGAAGCTCGATTTCTTAACTGCAGGAACAGTCGCAGCGCCTAAAACTGCGGCATTGAAATCGTCTCGTCGAGAGCTTTTCGAATATTTATCGTTTCGTTTATGCATCCTCTTCGTCGTGGAGTAATCGAGCTTTGAAAATCGGTCCAGGGTATGTGTTATCTTGTGTCATACACGGTATATTGCGTTTTTTGGCGCGTGTGTGTTTATTGCAGCATTATACAAGCACTGCTCGGTGCGGGATGTTTCAGCGAGCAGCGAAGAGCCAGTGCGTACCGCGTCGTCGTGGACAAAAATTCTCAAACTTCGAGAAACATAAACAAATCAAAACTTGAAGCTTCTTCGTGCCAGTTTTCACCTTCGACGGCGCTAACCGGTTCACCAATGAAAAGACGTCAGTCTCAGTGCGGCTGAGAACATAAAAACACTTTGATCTGCGATGAACTGGACCGAGTGTATGTTTACCACATGTAGGTGATACGACTTTGAACGCGCTCTCACGCTTTTCCTTGAGACGAAACGATCTCTGCCTGTCTGAACCGTTCGCTGTTGCCATGGCCGTCGTTGCTGTTGCACACCTAGCCGCTGCTCTGGCTGCCTCTCTCTCTCTCTGTCGATGTCTCTCTCTCTCTCTCTCTCTCTCTCTCTCTCTCTCTCTCTCTCTCTCTCTCCCCTCCTCGCTATGTGCGCCATTCTTCATGCCGTCGACAGGTCGACTGCATTTCGCTATCATCACTCTCACCTTCGACGCTTCCGGGAGACGTTCGGTAGACCGACAACCGAGATCCAGCTGCCAGATGGTCTAACTTATAGACTGGGTGGCCCTGTGGAGGTGCGTGGAGGGAATACAGACTGGCTCTCTGGATCTCGGGCCGTTGTCGCAGTGGGGGGGGGCGCAGACCGCGCCATCCACATACTTGTATGTTCAATAGTTTTGTCTTCCGGCCCTCATATGCACGCAGACTCAACTGGCTTTGCCAACTGCTGCTCTCTCCTTTGGTCTGCCCGCATCACCACGGTGACGCATCCTTTGCGGACACTGCTGTATACATTTCCGAGGTGAGTGCTGCTGGTCCTGGGCAGATCGCTATTGCGCGAAACATTCGTTGTGGAGCGCCGCAGAGAGCGAGAGAGAGAGAAAGAGAGAGAGAGAGCAAAGAACCGAGCGGCTGCAGCCCACCCCGGGAGGCAGCAGCAGTTGATTTTTTTACTGCTGCCACCGCTGAATTTTCAGAACATGCCAGGCAACAGGGCATGTACTGCTGTGGTGGAGATGAAAGATTGAGAGAGAGGTAACGGTGACGATGCTTCTGACAACAAGGGCGGGTGAAGTAATAGATGAAGTGGTGTAGGCGGTGGCAGAGGGCTGCGATCTGTCAGATCTTGTCCTGCCGGTTTCCGTACATCCGTACAGCAGTAGATCATGCGTGTTTCCAAGTGAACTCAATTCAACGAACTGCTGTTGTACTTCAAGCAGTTACAGCGTACAGCTAGACTATTCACTGCGGCCGCTGCTGCAAAGCGAAACATGCACCTCGTCTATGTAGGTATCTGCAAACCTCCAGCGTTGAGGCAGTAGAGCGAGCTCCGGAAAGAATCGCAGGGGCGAATGGGAATCTGATCAGAGAGTAAAACCACCGCAGGGCGGTCTTGGTGCATGCACAAGGACGTATACATTGTAGTACAGAAAGTTGTGGGTCTTGCATCTACAAGCAACTAGTGTACAATCGTGTACACTTGGAAGGTGGACTGAAATCAAAATTTTGGAGGCGGCACAGAGTCGCCGTCGCGCTCTGTGGCCGTCCACCTTCCGCCTCAACAGCCCCCTCTGCCGGGGGGCGGGGAGCCCTATGACTGGAAAACATGTGTTCTTCGTGCCAGTATTCACCTTCGGTACGTAAACAGTTGGTGACGTATGAAAGATGCTACACCCAGACCCCCTGGACCTGTTTGAAAGGCGAGTTACTCGACGAAGAGAAATGGGCAGAGCACCCATACATAGGGCAATTTTTTTTTGAGACACGGAAGCACGGAAGAACTTCCAACAGTTATCCATGTTTTAGAGGGGTAGAGCCGGGTAGATGCCCATCTCCCACCAATTACCCGTCGAGCTTGTAAGACATTTTGTAAGACCGAGACAGATTATTGGGCGATGGGCTCGACGCTCTCGGCAGAATAACCGGAATCCTCTTGCACAGCAGCACCATACACATCACGTAGACAACATACGAGGCAACCAGCACAGCAGAATACGGACTGCTGTAGGCCAAGGTCAGCCAAAGGCACACATCATGGGAGGCGTTGGGTATGACTCTTGCAGCCCGTTGCCTGCTATCGGCAGCACAAGCGAGTGACGACGCAAGTCAATCCGCGGTCCGTCTGCATCACCCTCAACCTACACATCTTTGGAGCTTCCCGCACGGAGGCATCCCCACAAAACGAGTCCTACACACTGCTGTAGGCCAGGGCCGGCCATAGACACACATCATGGCTGGCGTCGGAAGCTATGTTAGACCCCGAGGCCTTCTGCTAGCACCGTAAGCGAGGGAAGATGCGAGTTCACACAAGTCAGATCTCTGTCTACGGTCTCTTGGTCTGCCGGCCGATCTTTGCTTCCACAACAGACGCACTCCAGAAACAGAGACAAGTGAGACGTACATAAGCCACGTGCGGCCAAATACACACGTCGTGGGAGGGGTCCGGGCCAAAATTCAGAGCCCGTTGCCCTCTGCTAGTAGAGAAAGCGAAGAAAGCAAGTGCGCACCCATGCACAGCAGCGGCAGCAACAGCAAGCAGCAGCAGCAGCAGCAGCACTGCTGTCACTGAGGTGATGACGATGAGAGCCAAACAGGGCTCCCATTCATCCCCTGACTGAATGGTGGTATCGGGTGAGGTGTGAGCGTGCGCACTGGGCATCTACGTGGTGGCGTAGGCTCGATCCATATCTATCTACGCTTGCCTTAATGTCTCTCTCAGACCCTTCTTTTCGCGTTTTTTTTTTTTTTTTTGGACCCCTATGTATGGGAGGGAAGCCGAGAAATGCTGCCAACAGGAAAGGCAGACGTTTCGAAACATCTCGGCGAGATGGCGTCGCAACAAGGGAAATGTCTCGTGATTTTTTTTGTGCTTCCGTTACCTGTAACGGTCGCACGGCGGCGGTGGTTCAGAAGTTGGTGTTCTCGTGACCTCCCCGCTGATCCCGTAGCTTGCGGATGATTTTCGCGTTATCCTCTTGTAGCATTGTTTCCTTTCGGGATCCGTTTTAACGTGTGCATAAGAGATCGTCGCCCAACCAGAGGCCCGAAAAACGGGGGGGCACGCCCGGTGGCGGGTTGGTCAGGGGAAAACACGATAAAGGTTTTGTGCCCGGGAAAACTGGACGTACGAAGTGTACGGAGCAAACATCAGCGGCAATTGTCGTTGATGTGCCGAAAGTTGAAGTGCCCGAGTTGGGACTGCGCCCGGTCTGTACCCTCCGCAGCTTTTTGGGGGTATTCGGCGCTCGACCTTGGTCGGCAGGGATCATCGAGGCTTCGTGGACGCGTGTATGTGGTGGCCCAGGGAAGTTGGGCGGCTGGGCCCCCGGCAGACATCCTCACTCTCTCCCTCATTCTCTCCGCTGTCTTTAATACCAAGCCTGTATCAAAGTCCTGGGATCAACCATTCTCTCCGTGGTTCTGACCACACGCTGTCCGCCCCCGAACCTAACCTAACCCCAGGAGATTGAATGATATTTACTCAGAGAGGTAGGAACAGGAGGGAGCAGCGAGAGAGAGCGTGGAGCCTTGCTGGGGGCCCCGTCTCCCATCTTCGCTACCAACACAAATCCCCACAACCCCCAGAATCTCCATAGATCCGTGCTGTATCGAGTGCGAGTGCCTCAAACAACCTCTCGTGTTTGAGGTAACCCTGACCAGACGGTATGTGGCACTGACCGTGCGGCATCCACGCGCACCGCGGCCCCTGCCCGTTGCTAGAATAAAGCGTTTTGGCAATGGTTGTGTGAGCGTGTAAATATTTCGTACTAGATCGGTTGCCGTGGGGACTGCTTTAAAAATCGTGCGATGTCTAGAGCCAACGGCCGGTGAGGCAGAGAGGCAGTCCAAACAAAAGTTGCCACGTCATTTTGTAGGTCTTCCGCCGAGTTTGGGTGCTGGTGAACCTCGATTCGGCATTTTGGTGTGGTAAGATAGCGTTACAATGGCGCAAGCCAATTGGACCAAAAACTCAATAGGGTCATCCACGTTGGGTGTTCAATTTCCGTGCGAACGTGTAACGTTAGCATTGTGGTAGGCCCTTGGAGAAGCTCGACGAATCCATCTCTATCCGCATTCGCGCCAACACGCGTCCTACGTTTCTCCTTGTTTTCGAGGTGACGAAAGCACGCTAGGTTTAGACATGCAAAGCGCATGGTCGCGAACAAAAGCACGATATTGAGGGAAAAAAGTGCGACGACATGGGCTTCTGAGGCACCCAAACCTTGGGTTAAGCCTGTGCGTCAGACCTAGTATACCGAGCCGACCCCCCGAACAATGCCTCGCTCCCCTGGGCACCATCGCAAATCATCACACGCGTCCAGTCCGAAGTGGCCGTTGTCTTGCGATACCTTCTCGTTTGGTCTCCAGTCTCGGCACAACAAGAAGCTAGCTGCATAGGAGTGTTGTTGCGGATAGGCCGTTAAGCAGTGCACGGGTGTGCTGCCTCGAATGTGTTGTTATGATCCGGAGTCTTGTGAGCGCAAACAGACAACCCGTGTCGAGTGACCCGCTTTCTGCCTACCGGTAATATGCTCCTCGATCCTTGTCAAGCTGCAAGCAACAGCGAGGGGTTGGGCGCTTTCTTCAAGAAAAGACCTCTCCACGGCAGTTTGGTGGGTTTCTATATTCCAATTCCTTCCATGTATCATGGCGACGGTGGGTGAAATGGTGTCGCAGGCTTTCACCTGCCTTCCCCCGACAATTGCAAGAAATCCACAAGAATCCCCTTTGAAGTGGAGAGCAAAGTTGATCGACATTTATAGGCGCATCGCTTCTCACTGTGCAAAAGAGTGGGTTGCGCTGCACGCGGACGTAAACTATGATTCCGTTCTAACGCCAATCACGCAGACCTTTTTGTCGTTGATCCGCTCGCATGGGCGCAGAGAACTGTGTGTGTACTCGTCAAATGGTCCAGCCGCAAGCGTCTCGCTCGTCTATGACAGGCGTGTTTGTAAAGGTTGGGTGGATTTTCCGCCCCTGTGCCTGCAATCGCGCCATTCCCCTCTCGGCAACCCGCTTCAATTCCCAGGTTTGTTTTGGCAGCAAACGAACGCCGCTGCGGAAACGGGCGAAGCGTGTACTCCCATCGAAAATGGTGATGCTAGGTTGCCAGGACGTTGGTCGCTCAGCGACTTTAGCCCAAGGCTCTGGCTATTCGAAGAGCTTCCGGCAGACCCCAAAGGCCCTGAAGAGAGGTGCCGGTTTCCAACAAAGGTACACGCGCAAGCCAGATTCGCAGTGACGCGATCAACCCGTTTGCACGAGGGAAGCGCGTGCGGGAACATTGCATGCGCGTATGCACTTGAAGACCGTGGCAAAGAATAGGAGCCTGGGTGCAGATTTGAGCTACCCGGAACGCTTGGACAAGATATATTCCACCCCACAGCGGGAATTGTGGGCGTTTGGGAGGAGGGCAAGGGGACTTGTTGCAAGCTCTGCTTGTATTTGGTGTCGAAGCCCTCCGTTCTCGCCTACGTTTCCGTATGTAGCGTCGAGACTTGTCTTAAGGGAGGCTACCGCTTTGAGAACACTATCGTCAGGCTAGCATGATTCCGAATTTTGGCGTTGGTCGTCATCACACACCAGGCAATGATGCTTGAGCGCAGCCGTATGGCACACGTAGCTGTTGCTGTGTTTGGAGACCTGACGGCTTGAGACCCTCCGAGGTTCTATTCACCCTCGCTACTTGCTGACCGCCTTCGTACAGTACCTTCGTTTCCCCTGCCGCCAGGGGTGTCGGTAAAGGACAGATTCCCGCTCAATGTAGTGCTCGCTGGCCGGGTCTTGTGTACCCTTCTAGTGGTTGACGTGAGGCCTCTCTGTATCCGCGAGGGTATCCACACCCTCGCTACACGCCCACCGCTTTCGTACAGCATGTCCGTTTTGCCTGGCGACATGGTGCCGCTAAATTGTTGAGATATCCGCTCAATGGAGACAGATATCCGTCAATGTAGTGGCTGGGTCTTGTTTTTCTCGCGGTTGAGCTTGAGTCCTCTCTGTACCCGCGCGTCTGTGTCACCAGTGGATCCCACGACCGTCACTTCCTGGTGCTGGTGACATCAGCCATGGTCGTGGGAGTCGCGGAAAGCAGTAAGTGATGCACCCGTGCTGCGTGTAGGAATCGGCCCCCGTTGGTTTATACACGTGCCGTGAGTACTTTTTTCTACGAACAGGGGACCTCGTTTGTGCATGTGGTCATCAGTGTCACTTCTGGGCGCCACTATTTTCCTGGTATGTTTTGGGCGCATGTGCTGCAGGGGAACGCCATTTACAGACTACAGGTGGTAGGTTGTTGTGTATTTTGTTGTGCTGTTAGAATCAACCGCACTAACCAGTTGCCTAGTTTGAAGGGGCCAGTCTCAACTGTGTGTACGCACGCCATCGTTTGTGTTTCTCGCTAGTGTCGAGCAACGCCATGCATGCATGAGTTCGCGGCCCCTTCACCTGCAAGTTTGCTGTGCCGTCGCAGAGCTGGTTGAGTTCCGGTCGGGGTTCAAGTGCATTTGGTACGACCTGCCGCACCCTGTTCAGTTTGCGGTGTTGCTGATGGTGAGTGAATGCTCTCTCGGTAGAGTATACCCATATGCTTCAACGTGGATAAGTCCGAATGGTAGAGAGTGCTTGTACTGATGTCTTATCTCGGCGTCTGCGCGCTTGGTCTGTTGCTGCCGTCCGCGTTTGATGCGCAAAGCAATGAGGCAGGACCATCGATGGCGATAAAACAGGCTTACACGGCATGTATCATAGTCCTAGCTCATATATTTTCTCTGGCGCACTCGATGCTGCTTCGAATCCCGCAGATGCCCGCGCTTTTCTTCGGAATCAACTGGATTTTCGGCAAGCTTGACAAAGTCGCGTACGCTCGTCTATCTCGCGCTGTGACTGCTTGGATGGATGAGAAAAGGCAGTTGCATCGGATTTAATCCGAGTCCAGGCGACTCAATTCTCAGGACTTGCATGCCCTGTTCGAATTGGGAGTTTTTTTTTGTCTCTTACGAAAACCTTCGGGGGTCGAAGAACAGCAAACATGGGCAATTCGTGATATGCATTTTTTGTTACAAAGTCTTTAGGCGGCTTATGTTTATGCCAATATTAGAACAACGGTCAGGTCAGGCGTTGTGTTTTACTAATGTTGGTACTCGCTGTACATTTTGTATCGTTTCCATCATGATTTCATCCCAATATGGCGAGCGACCGCATGGCATTGCTGGTGCTCGCTGGTGCCTTTAATCTGTTGGAGGTGCGTACCGAGACGGTAGGAAACAGCTGTTTTAATGTTCCATGGTGTCGAAAGTTGCTCAGTGCCGTACTTGAGTCCAGGCTGCAGTCTACCAGACACCGGGACGCCAGCCATGAACGCAGAAACCGTTGAGATTCTATTTATTTTGTCTAGGGGGACAAAGCGCCAGTGTTTCTGGGGAGGCGAGCCCCAAGCGTCTGTAGGACGTGAACGCATCTAGGCATGACAGGACGTGCATCTAGGAGGAGGACTTTTCGATGTATTGTGTATGGTGGGTTGTAAGATGTGTAGTTGTAGCAGGTGTTGTTGTTGTTGTTGTTGTTGTTGTTGCTTCTCACATTAGCTCTATAGTCCACAAAAAATGGGGAGCCCGTGGTCTCAAAACCCGGCGCATACGACGCCGCGAGCAACCAAAAAAAACAAAAATAGGGTGCAAACCACTCGGAAAAAGAAAACAAAATGATAGAAAGAAAAGAACAGGTATCGCACCGAGCGTTCGAGAAAAGAGCCCTCGGACACCGACCAAAATAACAAAGGAGGAGGCGTGTATCGTAGTTGTTGTTCTGATGTGGCGTGGCGAAATGGTTCGCACGATTTGGTCGGATGTGCCTCCGAATGTCACGACACGATGAGTTGGTGATCATCCGCGGTGTGTCTAATATGTCGTGTTTTTGCGTGAGTTCCTCCTTTTAGTAGTCCTCGGGCATTTCGGGCTTGTGCGATGCTTGTGGTCGTCACACACCCTGTTATGCTTGCTGCGAACGGCCGTGGTATCCATATGGGAAGTTTTTTTAGCGTGGGATGTCGCGTTGGTGGCGCCGACCGTTTCGAGGGCTCTCGTTGCTGACAGATGTAGAATTACTTCGCTACCAAAGCCTAACTGGATCATCTCTCGAGCAACGAAACGCTGATACAACAACGGGTGCTCCGAGCCGATGGCACCCAGATTGTCGGCTTCGTTTTTTTCGCCTCGGGGTAGAGCGAGAGAGATACAGTAGGTGGACTTCGAATGAATCACCCACTCAGCAGGGTTTGGGTGGCCGGCGGTTGTCGATGCTAAAATCGTTTTGAAATGAGCGAGTGCGAAAAGTGCGAGTGCAACGAGCGTCGTACGAACGTACAAGCACGCCTACAGTAATACGTCGTCGCCAATACGTGTAGAGTAAGGCTGACAACGGATTATTCTTGGCGTGAGAGCCATGTGCTGTCGACGAACGCAGGCGTATCATATGTGCGACCTCCGTTCTCGTCGTACCTTCCACGTCGTGCTCCCTTTCTCATGATGGTACATTGTCGTTGATATCCCGTATCAGACGCACTGGTTCATTGTATCTCGGGTCTTGCGGCACACATACCTATAATGCGTTTCACCATGACCTCCACGCAAGTGGTCAGGCGGCAGAAGCCTTCCCTCCAGAACAATATCTTGCAACTCTGGCAGCACCGTATCCCGTCCTCCACAGACCAACAACTATCGTCGCCACAGATGCAGACATCTCGATCTCGTGCAACAGAGCCTTATGCGAAGCTTTGTCCAGATTCATTGATTGGTGGGTCCGCCCTTTCGGGGTGTTGGGGTGTTGTCCTTTGATCGAGCTCCCCTTTGCGGCTGTACTATCGTAGAGCAGTACGCAGGTGTTCAAGATGCACACCCAACAACTACATTATTTAGACAAAATTTCACTCACTCATGTTCATAGACAAAACCCTCACCGAATTCACATGCTACAGTACCATGTGTTGTATCAATGCCGGATACTGGTCTACAGTAATTCGTACGCGGTGCGACAACACCGTTCCCCAGTGCGAACTTGAAAAAAATACTGCCGCCGCTGTCGTCACTTACTTTTAGCGTACGCCCTCGAAGTGACCCAGGGGGGCGCGCGATATCAACGTCCCGATGCCACGGCTACGGTGACATCACACGCACAGAGGGTTCCTAGTGTCGTGGCTATGCGTGTATCTGCACCGAATACTACGATGGGACGTAGACTAGTGGATGAAACGACGCTAAGGGCATATGAACAGCAGCACCAAGCAGTCGCACGCTTCAGTGTTTTCGTGTTTGCCATGCAGCCCGAAGAGACCGCGGTCACGCGCCGCGTCTACGACGAAGGGACACAATTTTCGCTAGCTCTTCTTCACGATGGAACGTTCAATAATAGCCTAGATGCAATCCACCCGTAGTTTATTCTATCCACTGCATCCAACACCCCCCCAAGACTCTGGAGGTTTTGCTGTAAGAAGAGCACCACCCGACGCTCCATCTATCTATATGACGTAGTTCATCGAATGTTTTCGCCTCACACGATTCGTTTTCATTCGCGAACGTTCATAATACCGGTCGCGCCGGTGGTCTAGTGGGTACCCTCGCAGCCTGCTAAGGGCCAAGTCATGCGTTCCGAGTCCCGGCAGAGTGAGTTTTTCTCACCAAATAAATCCTGGTCTACCGCAGTAGTAGGATGAAAGCGACGCGCTGCAAAGCTCGTTGTTAGTAAACCATAATCGACTTCGTAAGTCGCGAGGGAAGGGATTGCTGCACCCTTCTCGCGATAAAAATGTCTCAGGCAGGAACCGCAGGAGGGGGTCCAACTTCCCCCTCCGGGGTGACCCCGGGTGGTCGTCTAGCCAGTAGAAGTGGAGGATAGATAGGGACCAGAAGGGCAGACGACAGAGTCCAATTGTCCCGTCAACCCGGGTTGTTCGGATACCTGCTCGGATGCGATGAACTTCACTCCACCCAACGCGTCACCTACTTACTACTGGATAAGATAGAGACACAACTGTTCGTGGGTCTACGGACATGGTTTGGATACATTAGCCATACGTACAAGTGTGACGCAGATGGTGTAGAACCTTTTAGGTAGGGGTACGGTGATGATGCACCGGGACCCCCTTTGTTGAGTGCAGCAGCCGCGCTGCCACTCTCTCTTTCTCCTCCTGCTTTCCGAGCACGACAGCGTCCTGGGTACGGGCGTTGTCTCACCGTCTGAAGTTAATACACTACACAAACAAGTCCCGATAAGTACGCGGAGTACGGCCGACAAACACTCTAGAGTTGATTGTCCCTCGAGGGATAGCCGCATCGGGTCATGTCTGCGTCGGACAGCGGTTCCGTCGCAGGGCTGGGGGAAGAGACCTCAGCCACGCAACAGCAACACGCCGAGGATCCGGCGATTGCGAGGCTGGAGGGCCAGTTATCGCAACTGATGAGCGTAGTGATGGAGTTGAAGAGGAAGGAGCCTGGTGACGCCGTGGCGGGCGATGCCAGTAGGGGCAGCGGTGCTGCCGTCCCAAGCCAGAGAGAGGCTCTGCCGCCTGGGGGCGGCGGGGCATTTTCCCGGGAAACGGCCCGTGATGGGCGAAATCACCCGCGGGAAAGCAGCTGGGACAACATACCGGGAGCGAGTCCTGGGGTTCCAGCGAGAGTGACGACTGGCTGGGCAAGTAGATCGGGAGCGAATCCTGTGGGGCCAGCCGGAATGAGCCCGGGCGTAGGACCGGACCGCGGGGAAGCGAGGGGGTTAAGCCCCCAAGGTGAGCAAACCGCAATTCGAGGGGCCGGAGCATTTTTCGATGGGTACAGCAGTAGTAGCCAAAAACGTGTTACGGTCAATGCACCGCGTCTCGAAGGGGAGAGTCGCGGCCACGGGTACGACTCGTGGAGAAAGGCCCTTATTCAAGCCGCGAAAACCGTAGGCTTGGACGGGCAGCTTATCGGCAACGCCGAGAAGCACGCACCCGTCGGTGACCCAAACAGGCCTAGCTCGGAGCTGTATAGCTTGGGCTACACAAGTGATGAGGTTCAGAGGGGCCTCCAGGCGTTCCACTTTGTGACTACAGCCATCGTCCGAGAAGCCGACAAGGCAATCGTGAACAAATGCGAGACCGCAAAGGAAATTCTTGCGGAACTCGACAAAGTACACAACCCGGAGTCGCAGGGCTCGAAACAAGCCCTCATGAAGAAGATGTTTCGATTCACGATCCCCGCACACAGCAACAGCAACCCTGTCGAGCATCTATACACGCTCGAGCTGCTGTACTCACGACTGCGGGAAAAAGGGCTCAACGCTGACACACCCTTTGTTCTCGCACACTTTGTCGATGCCCTTCCACCCGAGTACCAACAAGCCAAATTCTTGTTGGAGACGGCTACAACTCTGGACCGGGGCGAGATAATCAGGGTCGTCAGTACCGTGCACGCGAGCCTCCCGGAGGGGAGGAGGGCCACGAAGGGCCAGCGGAAGGCGGAGCATGCTTTCCTCGCGAGCGACGGTGGCAACAGGGGCGGAGCGCCCGGCCGCAGCAGCGGCGGCCACAGCAAGGGCGGCGGCGGCGGTGGCAGCCAGAAGGGGAAAGGGGGTGGTCGCAAGGGCGGTGGTGGTGGCAACAGCGGCGGAGGCGGCGGCGGTGCAGGTAGCATGCACGGCCGCTGCTTCCGGTGCGGAGAGAAGGGTCACCAGGCGGCCGCCTGTACCAAGCCGGAGCCCCTGCGATGCGAGAAATGCCTGGGCTACGGACACGACAAGAGCAAGTGCTCGTCCGAGCAGGCGGTGCTCGCGGTGGAGCTGCCGGTCTTGGACGCCACCGCACTGGACGTGGCAGAGGAGGCGCTAGTGGTCCGTGACTTCACAGGCGAGTGGAACAGAGTCGTTGATCGAGGGGGTGTAGAGCAGGCCAGGCAGGAAAGGTTTGTCGCCGATACCGGCGCACCCAACCACATGTTCCCGAGAGCTAACGCGTTCGAAAACTACCATGAGTGCGATCGACGTTTGAGTGTCGCCGCAGGGAAGCAAGCCTTCGCCATAGTAGGCTACGGCGACGTGAGGGTGACCATCGGTTCTCGCGTTGGGACCACAGACCTGCTGTTGAAACGGGTCGCTCATGTGCCGGAGCTGAATTACAACCTCGTGTCCCTCACAGCCCTTTTGAAGCAAACCAAGGGCCGCTTAGCCGCAGACGAGCGTGAGTTGGAGGTGTTCGTTGGTGGGGGGGAGCCGGTGTACTTCCCTCTATGGGGGGAGCTGTTCGTTCAGACTGGTCACCGCATAGGCTCAGGTAGGGAACTAGCCTGTGCCATAATTGCTCCTGGTAACGCGAAAGCGAACCGCACCCCCGTTGACATCAACGACTTCCACTGCGCGCACGGCCACTCCCACGAGGTGCTGCTGATATTCACGATCCCCGCACACAGCAACAGCAACCCTGTCGAGCATCTATACACGCTCGAGCTGCTGTACTCACGACTGCGGGAAAAAGGGCTCAACGCTGACACACCCTTTGTTCTCGCACACTTTGTCGATGCCCTTCCACCCGAGTACCAACAAGCCAAATTTTTGTTGGAGACAGCTACAACTCTGGACCGGGGCGAGATAATCAGGGTAGTCAGTACCGTGCACGCGAGCCTCCCGGAGGGGAGGAGGGCCACGAAGGGCCAGCGGAAGGCGGAGCATGCTTTCCTCGCGAGCGACGGTGGCAACAGGGGCGGAGCGCCCGGCCGCAGCAGCGGCGGCCACAGCAAGGGCGGCGGCGGCGGTGGCAGCCAGAAGGGGAAAGGGGGTGGTCGCAAGGGCGGTGGTGGTGGCAACAGCGGCGGAGGCGGCGGCGGTGCAGGTAGCATGCACGGCCGCTGCTTCCGGTGCGGAGAGAAGGGTCACCAGGCGGCCGCCTGTACCAAGCCGGAGCCCCTGCGATGCGAGAAATGCCTGGGCTACGGACACGACAAGAGCAAGTGCTCGTCCGAGCAGGCGGTGCTCGCGGTGGAGCTGCCGGTCTTGGACGCCACCGCACTGGACGTGGCAGAGGAGGCGCTAGTGGTCCGTGACTTCACAGGCGAGTGGAACAGAGTCGTTGATCGAGGGGGTGTAGAGCAGGCCAGGCAGGAAAGGTTTGTGGCCGATACCGGCGCAACCAACCACATGTTCCCGAGCGCTAACGCGTTCGAAAACTATAATGAGTGCGACCGACGTTTGAGTGTCGCCGCAGGGAAGCAAGCCTTCGCCATAGTCGGTTCTCGCGTTGGGACCATAGACCTGCTGTTGAAACGGGTCGCTCATGTGCCGGAGCTGAATTACAACCTCGTGTCCCTCACAGCCCTTTTGAAGCAAACCAAGGGCCGCTTAGCCGCAGACGAGCGTGAGTTGGAGGTGTTCGTTGGTGGGGGGGAGTCGGTGTACTTCCCTCTATGGGGGGACCTGTTCGTTCAGACTGGTCACCGCATAGACTCGGGTAGGGAACTAGCCTGTGCCATAATTGCTCCTGGTAACGCGAAAGCGAACCGCACCCCCGTTGACATCAACGACTTCCACTGCGCGCACGGCCACTCCCACGAGGTGCTGCTGAAGAACACGGCGAAGCAGCAAGGGGTGACGCTGGTGGGCCAGCTCCGGGAGTGCATGGGGTGCTCGACGGCAAAGGGGCTATCCAAGCCCATCCCCAACAGGACGTCCACCCGTGCAGTACAGAAGCTGCAGAGAGTTTTTGTGGATTTGAGTGGGAGGGCAAGGGTGCAGAGCTTGGGGGGGAAGTGGTACACTCTCATTGTAAGGGATGACTGCACGAGGTGGAACCGCGTCTACTTCTTGAAAAACAAGTCAGACGCTGCAGAAGCATTCGAGAGATACCTAGCGGAAAACCGGGCAGACGGAGCCCCATCCGAGGTCATGGTCGTGCGGTCTGACAACGGAGGAGAGTTTTTCGAGGGAGAGTTCGGAAAGCTGTGCCGCAAGTACTGCATCAAGCAGGAGTTCACCCCCGCATACAGCCCAGAATACAACGGTGTAGCTGAGAGAGCACTGGGACTGATCAAGGATGCAGCACTAGCCGCGCGCATACAAGCGCCGATTCTTTACCCCGAAGCGCCGAGCTACCCCTCCCTTTGGGCCGAAGCTACAGCTTGGGCATGCAACGCCCTTAACTGCACCTCCACCACATCCAACCCGGACAAGAAATCGCCGTACGAAATGTGGCACGGGCACCCACCTCCCCCAGAGGCGACGTACCCGTTCCTCAAACCCGCCGTATTCAAGGTCAAGCGCACGCACAAGCCAGAGCCGAAAGGAAAGCAAAAAAGTGTTTTTACCTCGGCCCTGGAATCAACACAAACCGTGATTGCGTGCGCATCCTGAACGAAAAACGCCAAGCGATCACAACTCGCAACTTCACCTGGCAATCTGTGCCCGCCGCCCCGACCGCGCACCCCCAGCCGCTGCCTCCCATTGCAGAGGAGGACGAGGAGCTCACGACTGGGGAGCACGAGGGCGGGGAGGGTGCGTCATGCCACGGTGGAGGGAGGGCGGAGGGAGAACCTGAGGATGGAGGTTTCCACCTTGACACGACGGCAAACCCGGGGCCCGCGGAGCCGCCCGCGCGTGATGCGCCGGCGGCGCCGCCGGCCGCGCCCCAGGAGTCGGGCGCGGGCGACGCTGGCGATGGCGCCCCCTCGAGCAGGGAGGGCGCGAGCGTCGCCCCATCTACCACGTCGACCGGGATGGCCGATGTGGGCGGCGGCGAGGACGACCGTCGCAGCAGCAGCAGCAGCGGTAGCGGCAGTGACAGCAGCAGCAGCAGCAGCAGCAGCAGCAGCAGCAACAGCAGCGGTAGCGGCAGTGACAGCGGCAGCGACACGGACATCCCGGCCCTCCGCGGGCCCGAGGGACGGAAGCTCGCCCGCTTTGGCGAGCCGGCGGAGCTCACCAGCCGCCGACTCAGGGAGAACCCTCGCCGGAACATGAGGTACGAGTCGTCGCCGTCGCCAACGAGTGCCGAAGGCCTGCTCGCCCGCCATGCGTCGGCGGCGGGGCTGCCCATCCCGCTGGATGCTCGTCAACAGCATCACACCCACTGGATGATCGCGTGTGTGGTCGACGTGGTGGAAGAGCTAGAGGCGAGGGCGGTGCAAGCGCTGCTGTGCGAGCGCGCGGAGGAGGCCAACATCGCGCGCCAAGAGGTAGAGGACTTTCTGCTAGGAGTGGAGGACCTCGTGCTCAACTCTCCAGACGCCTTCGTGAGGGCCCTGGCGTCGACCGAGCTGAGTACAGAATCCCCCATAAGCAAGCGTCCGAGTGACGTTGAATCCCCCCCGATGACCGTAGCCGGCGT